GTTCGATCCCGGGCCGCGTCATACAAAAAGACTTTAAAAGATTGTACTTGTTGTTACCCTGTCTGGCGCTCGGCATTAAGGGGCTAAAACAAGGACTGGTCGGCTCGGAGTCAGTATACTGTATCTGAGTGGGGTATTCATGTTAAACTGTGGCATAGTATCTCAGTGAGCTAGCACTATAAATCGGCATCAGTCCGGACTAGTACAAGCAGCCACACACACACATACACGTACATGCACGTCGCTATATAAGTGCAATAATCTTGGACGCGACGTTAAACCCAATTTCACCTCACCTCACCTCACCTCACCTCACCTCACCTCACCTCACCTCACATCGCTAGAACTAACTCTCACCCACTCAATAAGACACATTTTCAAGAATACCCCAGGTAATCGATGATTGTAACCCTGCTTTTAATGTCGAGTTTAGAATTTTCTCATCATGACACACAGGCATTTCCCATACATTTTAACCGAATGCCGTACGTCACACGCCTCTTGCTCAAAGGTTTGATTAGGGTAACAACATGCAAGGTCTTCGTAAAGTTTTCAAATTTTTACGGTGGACATGTGGATGACGAAAATGATGTCCGATGCAATTCCCTATTTTGACTTGTACCGTATGTTACCATGTTTTTCAGCTGAACCATTAACTTGCCTTTGCATGTGTTTGTGACGGGTGCCACCGTGGAGCATGATACTCTAACCTTTAAACCAAATTCACTCACTTTGGAAATTAAAGTGATATAAGATGATATCACAATAAACATGTTTAGGGCAACATTGCAATGTATTGTCATGATCAGTGTGTGACAGGCTTGTCAATATTGTTTAATAAGATACACATTTTGCCAATTTTAACGTCAAGGAAAATAACTCTGCTCTCCATTTAAATCATTATGTCTGTTTTGAGCAAACAATAAAACGACCAATAAGAGGTGCGTATACCATATGGGATTAAACTGGATATGAGTGTACAATATGCTTGTACAAGGCGAGTAACGGGATTGGGTGGTCAGACTCTCTGACTTGGCTGATACGTGTCATCATTTCCCAATTGCGTAGATCGATGCTCATGATGTCAATCACTGGATTGTCTGGTCCACACTCGAATGTTTAACAGACTGCCGTCATATACCTGGAATATTGCTGAGTGCGGCGCAAAACAACAAACAAACAAAGAAAGCATATGGTGCACACCCGTGGCGATTCCGGGATGGAATAGGTCCCTAGCAACAGCGTGGATAGTTGCTCACAATATCGATCATTGGATAGTCTAGACAGACTCTATCATTTACAGACCACAGTCATATTACTGGAATATTGTTGGGTGCTGAGTGCTGAGTTAAACATTAAACATACAAAGAAACAAACAAAACCATCACTTATGGGTCAGATCTAGAGGAGATGAAGTACAAGAACCATCGTTCCATTAACAGAACTTCCTTGCAAGGAGTGTAGGCGTTGCGGTTGCTTTAGAACTCATGTTGCGCTGTTTGTAATGTTACTGTGATTTGTTTGTTTTTCGCTTCTGACAATCTCTTTGAGGATGTCACTTCTTCCAATCTATGTTTAGGGGAGGGTCACTTAAAGAATACTAGGGGCGATGGGATAGCCAAGTGGTAAAAGCGTTCGCTCATCACGCCCAAGACCCGGGTTCGATTCTCCATAATGCACAATGTGTGAAGCCCATTTCTGGTGTCCCCAAAAGTGATATTGCTGGAATATTGCGTAACATGCGTAAAACCATACTCACTCACTCACTCACTCACTCACTCACTCACTCACTCACTCACTCACTCACTCACTCACTCACTCACTCACTCACTCACTCACTCACTCACTCACTCACTCACTCACTCACTCACTCACTCACTCACTCACTCACTCACTCACTCACTCACTCACTCACTCACTCACTCACTCACTCACTCACTCACTCACTCACTCACTCACTCACTCACTCACTCACTCACTCAAGAATAATTTTTTATCCGACATCGCAATATTGAACGTTTCGAAAATAATTCAATTTATAACACGTCCAATGCATTTTCCTTCAAGTGCGTCATCACGTTATCAGAACAATCTCAAAATACTACTTGTTGAATGAAATGTTGTTTCGTAATGTACGTAAACATGATTAAATCTCGGCAACAGAAATCAATCCTCAGCCTTTGAGAGAGGTCATACCGCTACATCCGGGTAGTAACAAGGACGCGTGTCAAACTTCCTTTTTGTCAAGTGCGCAACTATTATTATCGCAGTGATTAAGTAGTAATAAGTCAACTGAACCACTCATTTTGTGACCTTCACATATTTGCATATCTGGGAGGTCGTGACAGCTAACGTATCACAGCACATCAACACCACCAGATAGCCTTTAATAGGCTTGTTTTTCGATTTGATACTAAGGATTTTGATTACACACGCACAAGTTTCAGCCTTGCAATTTAGCAGATTAAACATCTCGTCTTTGTATTGACCATAATCTAATAATGCAACACTAAGTGTCCATGATTGATCGAACTATTGGGTTAAATAACATCGAACTGCAGTGAGTAAATTCATCAAATATTCATACAACGTCGATATAGTTATTGGAATTAGAGCTGATACATGTGGTATATTGACATCTGATTGGCTGAAGCTCTTCGGGTGCCCGGATCGGTGGGAACGGTGACACACGCGGGTTGACATTGTCTCGCGGAGGGTTATTCTTGGGTCTATTTTAATGGGAGACATAAATACAATAGCAAAAGACAACATGCTGAGTGTGCACAGCAGGGGAGGGGCGTGGCGTATGAATGTCACTGAGTAAAGAAACTCCGCGTTAAGATATAGTGCGTGGATGTACGAAGCAAACGCTTAATGAGTAGGCCTTGTTAAGTCAGAAGCCGATCTCAACTCCGACGCAGGAAACGCTGTAATACTTATGAAAAACCTACTCAGACAGAATGTATTGTTTACGTGAGTTGCAGCCGAGGTAGGTCTGTTATGTTCTCGCTAATGTTCTTAAAGAATGTATACAGTATAATGTGTTTTATGAATAATTATTCTGATAACAATAATACAAAATGTATTTGTACCGTGCTAAATTTCAAATCCTCTCCTTATGTTCTAAAAGGATGTTTAAAAAAAAGAAAAAAAAGAATATAACATAATAATACAGGAGAAACATGGGAAATATGCAGACCTCGCTTTCGAAATGTCACGCTTGCATCCCAAGTACCAAGTTGTCTGACTCCCCATTGTTCTCGGTGCCTTAGGTTTGGTACTTCCCAATCTGTTGACTGACATCGGGAGAGTACCCGGGTTTGTTGCCAGGAGTACAGCCCTTCTGACAATCTGGGTAGTGCAGAAGGCTGCAGTGTTGGGGAATCTTCACATTCTCCGAAAAGTTCTGGGTGGGTTCGACTAGGCAGCGCTTCCTGGGAGAAGTCCCATTCGCTGTCTGGGCTACGTGTAGAGGGGGCAAGAGCCCTGAGCTGTTGACGAGCCTAACCAGCCTGACTGTGCCAGGAGCACCCAAACCCTCTTTGCTACATTTTTTATTTAAATCTGTACATACTAATAATATTCCACACACTATGTGTATGCTGAAAGTACTACAAAATACATAGATATGTACAACTATACAGAAAAAGCTGTTGCAATTAGATTGCAGACAGTAGTATTTCCAGAACAGAAAGGTCTTCAGGTAGCACTTGAAAGAGTCCAGGGAAGTTGAGTCTCAGGTTGACAGGTAAACTCTTCCAAAGAACCGAAGCTCCATTGCTAAGGGGTCTTTGAGTAAAAGATGTAGTGGTAGTGGTTTGACAGTGTCGTTGATTTGATCCAAGCTACAAGCGACACAACTAATGATAGGTTCTAGATAGAGAACAGTTATTATTAAATGGAGTGTAACAGTGGTAAAGATGTGTGTCTCTAGCACACACACACACACACACACACACACACACACACACACACACACACACACACACAGACACACACAGACACACACACAGACACACACAGACACACACACACACACACACACACACACACACACACACACAATTTGTCTATATCTCAGCGTTTAGTAAAACAAGAAGGAGCTTCACAATTTGTACCAATTGAGAATGGAACTGGGGTCTTTGAGGACCAAACGCTTAAGCCACAGTGACTACTTTAGTTATTGATTTTCAGTGTTCCAGTTTATCACTATTTTACCATTTACGCCCAAGGGAATGTTTTTCTGCACATTTTTTAGACTGATTAATCTGATTGATTTGTATATTTACATTCATTGCAGATAGATGGGATATGATATCATCTTGTATGCTCTTACATTAAAACAAATATCAAAAATATTTTTGAGATTATGTCTTGTCCTTGCCAGGGTTACAACTATCATTACAAATACGATGTGATGTTTAACACGGTGATGTTGTGCTGATAGAGTAATTTGGCTTCCGTCTCCTATTCCTACTTTTGTATATACCATACATTGATTAACCTTGACCTTTCGAGTGGCGGATGGTGGTGTAGAGCCCGTAGCCGTAAACATTCTGTCGCTTTACAATGTTTGTTTTATAAATATTGGCCTAGTTTTCTCTTGGTCCAAGTTATACAGAGCTACTTGATGCTAACTGCAATGCTATATGAACTGCAACAAATATCCGGGTACCACACCATCAACACAATTACAACTTCACGTCTACCCTCCACTGCTACAACCACCCTCACAATTACACCTCTACTGCTACAACTACATCACAATTCGTCTCTACTGCTACAACCACAACCACTACATCACAATTTCACCTCCACTGCTACAACCACCATGACAATTACACCTCCATGTGTACCTCCACTGCTACAACCACCATCACAATTACACCTCCACTGCTACAACCACCACCACAGTTACACCTCCACTGCTACAACCACCATCACAGTTACACCTCCATGTGTACCTCCACTGCTACAACCACCATCACAATTACACCTCCATGTGTACCTCCACTGCTACAACCACCATCACAATTACACCTCTACTGCTACAACCACCATCACAGTTACACCTCCACTGCTACAACCACCATCACAGTTACACCTCCATGTGTACCTCCACTGCTACAACCACCATCACAATTACACCTCCATGTGTACCTCCACTGCTACAACCACCATCACAATTACACCTCCATGTGTACCTCCACTGCTACAACCACCATCACAATTACACCTCCATGTGTACCTCCACTGCTACAACCACCATCACAGTTACACCTCCATGTGTACCTCCACTGCTACAACCACCATCACAATTACACCTCCATGTGTACCTCCACTGCTACAACCACCATCACAATTACACCTCCATGTGTACCTCCACTGCTACAACCACAATCACAATTACACCCCCACTGCTACAACCACATCACAGTTACACCTCCACGTGTACCTCCACTGCTACAACCACAATCACAATTACACCCCCACTGCTACAACCACCATCACAGTTACACCTCCATGTGTACCTCCACTGCTACAACCACCATCACAATTACACCTCCATGTGTACCTCCACTGCTACAACCACCATCACAATTACACCTCTACTGCTACAACCACCATCACAGTTACACCTCCACTGCTACAACCACCATCACAGTTACACCTCCATGTGTACCTCCACTGCTACAACCACCATCACAATTACACCTCCATGTGTACCTCCACTGCTACAACCACCATCACAATTACACCTCCATGTGTACCTCCACTGCTACAACCACCATCACAATTACACCTCCATGTGTACCTCCACTGCTACAACCACCATCACAGTTACACCTCCATGTGTACCTCCACTGCTACAACCACCATCACAATTACTCCTCCATGTGTACCTCCACTGCTACAACCACCATCACAATTACACCTCCATGTGTACCTCCACTGCTACAACCACCATCACAATTACACCTCTACTGCTACAACCACCATCACAGTTACACCTCTACTGCTACAACCACCATCACAATTACACCTCTACTGCTACAACCACCATCACAATTACACCTCTACTGCTACAACCACCATCACAGTTACACCTCCACTGCTACAACCACCATCACAGTTACACCTCCATGTGTACCTCCACTGCTACAACCACCATCACAATTACACCTCCATGTGTACCTCCACTGCTACAACCACCATCACAATTACACCTCCATGTGTACCTCCACTGCTACAACCACCATCACAATTACACCTCCATGTGTACCTCCACTGCTACAACCACCATCACAGTTACACCTCCATGTGTACCTCCACTGCTACAACCACCATCACAATTACTCCTCCATGTGTACCTCCACTGCTACAATCACCATCACAATTACACCTCCACGTGTACCTCCACTGCTACAACCACAATCACAATTACACCCCCACTGCTACAACCACATCACAATTACACCCCCACGTGTACCTCCACTGCTACAACCATCACACCTCCACTGCTACAACCACCATCACAATTACACCCCCACTGCTACAACCACATCACAATTACACCTCCACTGCTACAACCATCACAACTCAACTGCTACAACCACCGTCACAATTACACCTCCACGTGTACCTCCACTGCTACAACCACCATCACAATTACACCTCCACTGCTACAACCATCACACCTCCACTGCTACAACCACCATCACAATTACACCTCCACGTGTACCTCCACTGCTACAACCACCATCACAATTACACCCCCACTGCTACAACCATCAACACAATTACACCTCCACGTGTACCTCCACTGCTACAACCATCACACCTCCACTGCTACAACCACCATCACAATTACACCTCTACTGCTACAACCACCATCACAATTACACCTCCACGTGTACCTCCACTTCTACAACCATGCTTGTCGTTAGAGGCGGTAAACGGGATCGGGTGGTCAGGCTCACTGACTTGGCTAATGCACGTCACCCTATCTCAATTGCGTAGATCGATGCTCATGATGTCAATCACAGGATTGTCTGGTCAAGACCATCGTCAAATAGCTGGAATATTGCTGAGTGCGGCGTTAAACAACAGACAAACAAACTACTGCTACAACCATAACCACTACATCATCAACACAGTTACATCTGCCAAGTGCACATCTACAGTAGAGAATAAATTAAAACGAATCTAACTCAAGTCTGGAAAGAGTTGTCAAGTCCAGATTGCTTCAGGTCTAGGAAATTAATCCCTGTCTGAGCTCCAGTTGGATTTTATTATATACTTTGAAAATATACATTTTTTATATAAGATAACTTTATTTCGTACACTAAACGTTTGTCGTCCTCTACATATACAATCAACACCAGTAAACTAACATCACAATAATAGCTGTCACGCGCATCTACACTAAACCACCGACTGAACCGCAGCTGTCGCGTGTTCATAACATCCGATTTTTATCACTACATCTAAAACTGATGCGACTACTTCAGCGCAATTACGTCTGTAACACAACACAGAATTCTCTAGTTTAATAATGGGGCACGGCTGGCCCAGTCGTCAGCGAGTCGCTGTGCAGAGTTGCGTCCCTTGGGCACGCCAGAAACCGTTGATTGTGGGTTCGAATCACGGTTCACCACGATTATGTTTCTAGCTTTGTCAGCACCATTCTCGTGCTCGTGGGTTTCACTGAAGTGGTAAACGTCTGGGACCTGCATCACTTCGTGCTTTCCTCCCACATTAAGCTGACACGCCGTGATATAAATGAAATGCTGTTAAAATCGGCGTTAAACCCAACTCACTCTCTCTAGTTCAATATTGTCTTCATAACCCATGTCATGTGTGCTGTCAGTTGCTATTCAGATTCCATTACAACAACTAGGTTTACCTATTGATAGTAGCGGTCAGGTGTCTGAGGCGCTACAAGTCGCTGCCCTTTAATTTGCAGGATCCGCTGCCCGTGTTAAGTAATTCAAGGACAGTGTTTTTCCACAACGTTGCAACGCTTGTGGTTTAACCAACGTGCTAAAATGGAGACAAAGCTCCAAGGTTAGCAGAAGAAAATGGATTGGAGTAAGTGATTGAGTGAGCATGGTTTTACGACGATTTTACCAATATTTCAGCAATATCACGGCGGGGGGACACCAGAAATGGGCTTCACACATTGTACCAATGTCGGGAATTGAACCCGGGTCTTCGGCGCGATGAGCGGACTCTATAACCACTAGGCTACCCGACCGCACCTACATGGATTGGAATTTAGCGTACAAGGAATGCCTGTGGCCCCGATCTTGTTTCTATAACGCCGTGATATAACTGCAATACTTGTCAAAGCAGCGTCAAATTTCTACTTGCTTTGACTGCTTTGTGACAATTATCCTAAATGTAACAACTCGCTGTAGATGCTATTGTCACTGAACCCGGTGGCCAGGCCTTGCGAGGCATGGGTGGCCAAGTCCTCAATACTGAAGCGTGTCGGGCAGACTAGAAACCTATGATCGTTGGTTCGAACCCCTATTGTGTCTTAACAAAGTAACACCACGTACGACTGTAGTATATCCACGTGGCAATGTGAAGAGTTATGTCCCTGCCGTGAATAGAGTTCAACTGGTGTTATGTGCTGGTTCAATGGTCGATCAGAACCAAACCCGCGCCCCTGGGTTTCCCCATAGTGGTCATTGTCTGAGACCTGCATCACTTCTGTCTTTCCTCCACATGAAGCTGATAAAATTGGCACAACTAGGCTGATATACTGTTTAACTCACTCACTCATTTAATTTATTGACAATCTAGATAAACAAAATTATTTGTTTGTTTGTTGTTAACCGCCGCACTCAGCAATATTCCAGCTATGTGATACAGTTTGTAAATAATCGAGTCCGGACCAGACAATCCAGTGATTGACATCGATCCACACAATTGGGATATGGTGACTTCCATCAACCAAGTCAGAGAGCCTGATCACACGATCCCGTTAGTCGCCTCTGACAACAAGCATAGGCGCCGTCTACGGCAAGCATGGGTTGCCGAAGACCTATTCTACCCGGATCATCACGGCAAGCATGGGTTTATGAAGACCTATTCTACCCGGATCTTCACGGATGATTAGCAAAACGAAGGCACTGTAACCGATGTCCTTTCATCAGTTACAATGGCTAGTTCTGCTTGTTTCCTCTAACTAGAATGGTCCTGATTCTAGCTGTGCACCGGAGATAGAACACTGACACCCCGTCCAGCTCGCGACAGTCCAGTAACGTCATGCCCTGTGATGTCTGTGGAGGTCATCGATGGGATGAGTATCAGTAGAAGGATGTTGGAGAAGATTTATGAGGAACTCACCGCCTGTCGCATGTAACTCCAGTACCACAGAGGATGGATCTATAGAATAGTGTTTAAACTGTATACTGTTACTTCAGTATTTGGTGTTGCTGTTCAGTGTCACAGAGTGACAAAAACCCGCGTCTGTCTTAGGCAAGATGATGTTTTACTTCCAGTGTGCACATACCCGCATTCCAGTTCTATTGTTTTAACCTATCCGAGGGCGACTATGTGTCACGATGAGCTTCTTAAGTTAACCTCGATTTTCATCACTTCGAAAATATTTTTATTATTAACTTACTTAACAATACACTATACACGATGACTGGGTTGTATTAATGTGAGCGTGTGTTTGTGTTTGTGTGTGTGTGTTTGTATGTATGTATGTATGTATGTATGTATGTATGTATGTATGTATGTATGTATGTATGTATGTATGTATGTATGTGTGTGTGTGTGTGTGTGGGGGGGGGGGGGGGGGTTCTGCGCGTGTGTGTGTGTGTGTTTGGTATGCGTCTCAGATCAGCATCACTTTGTGTTGTGCTACTACATTTACCAATACGTCATCAATAAATTAAAATTATATTCAAAGTGGCTATTTACCCAACTCACTTTAAATGTACGAGATCTGCCGTGATATAAAACACTGCATGTATGATATTGGATATCATATGAATGATAGAGAACGTCATACATTTTATTTGAATATAACAACCTACATATGTATGACATAGAACACTATATCAATCATATATGACTACGAGTACTGTGACAACACTTGGAGCCTTAACAACCATCGTCAAATGACCTGACCTGTCTCATTTGAATATGTCGTATAGGTCATTTCCTTCAGGCCACAGGTCAAGCGGGAACGGTTAAGTATGCGGCACACGTAAACTCAAGGGCTCGCGCATTAATTTCCGGGCGCATTAATTTCAGGGGTTTGTACTGACATTAATTTGTTGACGCATTATTTTCATAATTTCAGTGTATCTATATCCTGTCATTTCTAGCCAGTAAGTACTGTAACATTGTACGAGTGCTGTCACTAACTCTAGCATGTGTGTTAGTACATGAATGAGTACGCGACAGCAATACGGTCTTGCCGAGAGTTAGACACGGGAACACCCAACATCGGAAATTCTCATTTTTGATACTTAAAACATTGACAAATTACTTTTATTTACGCAAGTGTCCATTTTCCACACTTAAGCATTTCCCGAACACGACACTATTTTGATAAATGCTTGGTTTTAGACTGGTATTATCGTCTAGTGACGCCCGGTTCGGTCGCCTAGGTTCAAGAACTGCAACGTATATGTTCAAGACACCACATCGATATTGTTTTAGTTTTAAAAATCAATCAGGTATTGATTGATTCATGTGTAGTGATGAACTATCGTTGCCATCGTGTGATTGACGCGAACCGAATCATACCCAACAATTACATAAATAGCAGAGACGAGGAGAGTCGGATGACACTTACAGTAAGTGTAGTATATTTCATTTCCTCTTAACGATGTTTTGATTCACATTGGCTATGTTACATATATATGTATAATTACACTTTATCGGGGTATTTAATAAGCTAATTTGATGGCCCATATACAGTGACTGTTCCCACAGTACCAATAGGTATAGTCGAAGGTAGGACATGATTGTGTAACACGTATACTCACATAAACATACCATCATGAATATTTTAAAGCGATTTTCCGTATCTCCCATGATAAATGCTTTCGGTTACCATGATCTTCAGATGATTCGATAATAGGCGGGGCGGTAGGGTAGCCTAGTGGTTAAAGCGTCCGCTCGTCACGCCGAAGACCCGGGTTCGATTCCCGACATGGGTACAATGTGTGAAGCCCATTTCTCGTGTATCCCGCCGTGATATTGCTGGAATATTGCGAAAACCATACCCACTCACCCAATAACAGGCATTAGGCGGCGAAGAACTAAATGGATATAGTCCCAGGTACGATACAATTGTTTAAAGCCCAAAGTATGTGATATGGGTTGATTACATCGCTGAAACTGACGTTAATCCATACTCACTCCTCCACTCAATAATAAATTTGCCATAAATACCCCGAGCAATGGATGATTGTAGCCCTGTTTTTTTATGACAAGTTTAGAATTTACTCATAGTGACACTACACCCTATAGTTCGATACATTGTTTAAAGCCCATCATATGTGATACGGCTTGAATACATCGCTGGCCCTGCCTTTAACCTTACGCACTCAATAATACACATTTTGAAGAATACCCCATGCAATGTGTGATTTAGACTAACACGTAGTCAATGAAAACAGGACTTAATTTTTTTTTCTTCGAAAGAACCTTTCCTCTTCTGCTGTTTTCATATGGAATGTGGAATCAAGAAAACTAGACTTGGTTAGTTTGATCCACACTTGTCTAGGCTTTTAGTAAAAATAAATGCATACAAAAATATAAATTCCACAGTCATGGTGCAGAAATATAAAAATATTTAAAACATTTAAAAAAAAAAAAAACTTCTTTTCTTCGAAAGAACCTTTCCTCTTCTGCTGTTTTCCTATTGAATGTGGAATCAAGAAAACTAGACTTGGTTAGTTTGATTTAGACTTGT